ACAAAAGGTTCCTGTAGAGTACTAAAAATGTTTAGGATGTGAAATACCTACCCTATGCATAACCAACCCCGGATCCCCGAATCTCTTAGTGTTGTTGTTACATCGCGAAATGGGTTTTTCTTTCTTTAGACCTTTCCTTTGGATAAATTAAAGACCAGTTGTGAATTTAAGAATTAAAGATTCAAGTTAATCAATAGCTTGGTATCACGATTCTCACCGCAACAAGAGGAAAGCAAGATTCCCTCACATGATGTTAAAATGTTCATTATTATGACTTTGGATGCAAGAAATAACAAGAAATCTCAAGTTGGCACATGTTTGGTAGGCCTAAAATCAAGTATGGCATGTCACTTGGTCCAAACACCATAACTTCTTCCTTTTTCAACATGTTTGAAACCTTCTTTGAGTTAAATGTCACATTTGAACTCCTCTACAACTTTTTTTCAAGGGTCAAACATCAATTCAACCTCTAAATCCATCAATTTTGGGATTTGCCCAGCTTCCCATGTGTGCACAAAAGTATTCTCAAGATCTGGCCGACCTAATGCATGGCCTAGAATGTCAGGTCACAACCCCAACTCTTAATCAATGCCATTTTCAATCCAATCATTATTTTTATGTGCTTCTCTTTGCATTTTATTCTTTTCCATGAATAGATCATTTGGCAAAAAGAAAATCTCAAAACGCACGAGTCAATTCTATTTGGCCTAAGCTCAAACATGATGCCTTGAGCTCTGCTTCTTGTGCAATTTTCATTTCACACAATTTAAGCCAACTTCACATGGGACCACCAATCACATGTGTATTTGATTCAATGATTTAAAATGAAGCACAACGCATGCAAAACGACTATGCCACTTCACTTGTTCACACATTTCACCTCTCACTTGGATCAAGCTTGCAATTCATGATTTCAGATCCAAACCCACACGAGTCTTGCTTAATTCACACGCACAAGCTTCATTCATACTTCCCTATATATAAATGAGCCCTATCCCTCATTTATCAAGCTTACAAAGCCACATAAACCCTACCATTTTCTCTACAACTTCACTCCAAAGACCAGTTAACCATTGCACTAAACCAAGCTTATTTGATCTCAATTCTTTGCCCAGAAAGCTTTATCGATATCCTCTGAACCTTCTCCAACTGAAACCAAGCCTTAATATCAAGTGAAATGCTCTTACCATTTTCACCATCTTCAACCTCGAGCTTCGATTCAGACAAGGTAGTTTGAGTAAAGTTACTACAAAAACGAGTTACCTTGCACATTTATCTTTTACTCATCAAGTTACAAAATTAATGAACTTAGAGGTTGAATTGATGTTTGATCCTTGAAGAAAAGTTGTAGAGGAGTTCAAATGTGATATTTGGATCAAAGTAGATTCAAAAAATGTTGAGAAATGAAGAAGTTATGGTGTTTGGACCAAATGACATGCCATACTTGACATTAGACCAATCCAAACATATGCCAACTTGATATTTCTTGCTATTTCTTGCATCCAAAGGCCCATTGATGATCACTTGAATACCAAATGAAGGAAATCTGATTTCCTATTTGAAAAATCTTGATAATTGCTTGAGAATTGATGAAGATGGCATGGAAATAAACACATGAACCATACTTAAATCAATTTTGAATTTATGCACCAAACTTGAACTTCTCTTGATCGAATGATGTTGAATGAAGTTGTCCATGAATATGACCTAAGATTATAGGTCATGCCTTGAAGGGAAAGCTCTTTGGACCATTAGTTGACCAAAACTTTGCCTTTGAGAATCAAAACCCTAATAATTTAGAAACTAAGTTTGATCCATGAATTACAAGTCCCTACCTTGTACAATATGAAAGAGAAAACAACACATATTTTTGTATTTTGAATAAGGTTATTGGTGTAAGTATATAAGCTAAAAGAAACATAAAGGGTGCTTGGTGATCTCTCCCTAAAGGCAAAACCAAAGAGAGTGTGCTAATGATATGATAGGTGGAATATTAGGGGTAAAAATTAGGGTATGAAAAGGTACTTTATGTGCCATTCATACATTGAAGGGTGTGTTTCGATACCCGAAAGTGGAATTCTAGACAACTGAGTATGAGATGACGAAAGTGTCTCAGGCTCACTTAAACAAGTCCATTGATTGTTTCCATATTTGAGCATTCTTTTGTCCTATAAATAGAGATATTCTTCTCATTTTTTACATACTTTCTCTCTCTCTCTCTCTCTCTCTCTCTCTCTCTCTCACACACACACACACACACATTTCCTTAGTGATTTTGAGAGGGAAATATTTATACATGTGACGTATTCTGGGTTAATTTAAGGGCATAATTGTAAATTCTCAAGAGGAGAAATTTTATTTTGGTTATGAGTTAAACCAAGTTAAAAGATCTTGTTTGGTTTTTGAGTTAAACCAAGTAAAAACTATGTATGATTTGGGATGATGAGATAATAGAAACTCTTAATAAGATCTATACTTTATATGAGTGAAGTACTTACACAAGTACTCTTAATAGATTCACCTATGTAATTGTGGAACTTAGGTCAATTCCAATGAAATTTTGAGGCAAAATTTCTAGAGTCTTCACTAAACTGGGATAGATCTACATGAACATTAAAACAAGAGCTTATATAATACACCATAAGAAAAGGTTGTGTGTTGGTTTAATGTCTAAGATAGAGTTCAAGACAATGAGGCACTCTTGTTGAATCAAAATCCTACTTCCTATGTAAAATTTAAGTCACAAACACCTCTATTTATGCACAATCTTAGACACCTATTTTTAAATTCAAGTGGGGAATTATTGAAAATGGAATGTATAATTGGGAAATGGAAGGAATAGTTGAGTTCAATTTGGATACTCAATCAGCATGAAGTATGAGCTAGTATGTGAAAATATGAATTTGAAAAAGTTTCTTAAAGTTCAACATTGAAGGGATACCACACTTTAGAAGTGCTCATATAATGTAGTTTGGCCAATTGGAGTGTGCCCTAAGGGGTTCTCTATTTTGGGAAAGAGAGAGAACGCAACACCATAAACTATAACACACACGTGTCCGCCGCTGCCGTCATCCATCTCGCTGGCTCAGTTTGGTCGATCAAGAAGAGATTAAGTTGGGGTGATCCATTATTTTTAGGTACTTGCATTGAACTATATTTTTCCATTAACCAAAATATTTATCCTCTCTTTCATCTCCTACTATCTTATAATTTTATTGTTAATTTTATTTTTGAGTCTCTGTCTTGCACCATATACGACTGATATTCATACCAGATACTACGAGTGGTTTTCATGTCATATATAATTGGTCTTTGTACTATTTAAGGGTGATTTTGAATGATTATCTACTTTATAATAATAATTGTATATTTAAGAACTATGGTGTCTTATCTTGGAGACAACGTGGTTGATTGTTTGCCTTGAAAATTTTCAAGAAGTCTTGTCATTTATGGATACATATTTGTGACAATAAGCTATTAACGACAAGATAGATTCTCTAGAATTTAACTGGATGGGCACTTAGTAGACTTGCCTCCTAGTTGCAAACCAATCGTTTGTAAATGAGTTTTGAAATAGAAATTAACACTTAATAGAACAAATGATAAATATAAGGTCATCCTTGTAGCCAAATGGTTTAGACAAAGATAAAATATAACAGTCTTCATTACGTTTTTCTAGGCTAGTAGAATTACATCCATTATGGTAATGATTTCAATTGCTTCTATTTATAACTTGAAAGTAAACCAAATAGATGTTAAAGTACATTTTTTAAAAGATGACTTAAACAAATAAATCTATATGAACAATCAGAAGAGAAGAGTTTTGTCATTGATGGGCAAGAAAATAAGGTCAATTAGTTAGATATGCCTTTGTATGATCTAAAACAAGCACCGAAGCAATGTCATGAAAAATTTGATCACTTAATAATTTCAAATGATTACAAAGTGAGTGAAAGTAACAAATTCTTTTTATCACAAATTTGAAAATAGAATTTCAATTATCATATATCTTTTTGTAGAAGAATTACTCATATTCAGATCAGACATCCAGCTTGTGAATGTTGTGAAATCACTATTGTGAAATGACTTTTATATGAAAAATCTCGAAGAAGGCAATGTGATTCTTGGAATCATGATCACTATATTCAAGAATGAAATATGTTTGGATCAATCTCATTATATGGAGAAGAAAATCTTAAAAAATATAATTACTTTGACTCTAACCTGCTTACAAACCATACGATCATATTGTAAAACAATTTAAGAACATTAGTGACAATGTTAGATAAACAGAGCATCATTGACACTTTTAGGTATGTCACTAATTATACTTGATTCGTCAATATATGTCGTAGGATTGTTGTGCATGTTTATTAGTAGACCTAGAATGTGCATTTGCAAGTTATTGAAAGAGTCATGTGATACTTTATAATGACCATGAATTTTGATTTACATTATCAGAGATTTCGTGGAGTAATTGAATAATATAGTGACGCAAATTGAAACGCTTTATCAAATGATTCAAAATCAGTTACTTAATCGTCTGTCTTTTACAATTTTAAAGAGTATCGTAAAATAATATCTTAAAGAAAGCGACTCAATTTGCAGTTCAACCGGACAATTTTTTGTGTGACATATTTTCAAAATTGTAAAATAATATAATCCTATCATGAATACTCCAATCATAGTTGTTTTCCAGCTGTTTATTTTTATAATAAGAAGAAAATGTTGATTCAAAAATGAAAATATAAAAAATAAAAACAAATCTAAAAGGCATCAACATCACATGTCGAATCTGAAATTACTAAGAGTTAATGATTCCCATTTTGTTGTTTCTTGAAGGCAAATAGGCATATTACACATGTTCGCACTCGCAGTTCATTTTTTTATAGCACTACACCTGTCAACTTTCATCGGTACTCGCTACTTTAATTATAAAAACAAACCATTGCAAATCAAAGAGGTTACTTAGCATTAGCAAGAACTAGGCAAAGTGAAAAATGGAAGTCACCAACAAATACATAGTGATAAAGAATCACATAGAAGATGCACCAAAAGAGTCTCATTTTGAGATCAAAACTGAGCCTTTTGCTCTTTCATTGGAGCCAGGTTCTGATAACGTCATAGTCAAGAATTTATGCATTTCTATTGATCCATATCTTATTAACCGCATGAAAAGCTACAGCCCTTCCCAGAAAGCTTTAAGCCTTACAACTCCCTTAACTCCCGGCAAGGTACTCGTTTTTTTTTACCGATATTCGGTCTGATTTTTAAAACATTGTAGCTAATGTTGTTGTTATTGTTGTTGTCCTTTTTTGGTACTTTTGTAGGTTATTGATGCTATTATTATTGGAAAGGTTGTGACATCTGGGAATGATAAGTTTGAAAAAGATGATTTGGTTTTGGGAGTATTCACTTGGGCTGAGTACAGTGTGGTTAAGGAACAAAACATAATAAGAAAATTAGAGTCTTCTGAATTTCCACTCACTTATCATCTTGGAGTTCTTGGTAACTGTTTACTCTATTCATTTCAAAATTACTGTTGTTTTACACACTGTCATAAAGTTGAGACAGTGAGAAGAAAAATGCTTCTTTTTTTGGTTTATACTAAATTTTAAAGAACTCAAATTATGTTTTTTTCCTTTGTTTTAGGATTTAGTGGATTGTCAGCTTATGCGGGATTTTTCGATATTTGCAAACCTCAAAAGGGTGAAAAGGTGTTTGTTTCAGCAGCATCGGGATCTGTTGGAAATATTGTAGGACAATATGCAAAACTCTTGGGTTGTTATGTTGTTGGCTGTGCTGGAAGTCAAAAAAAGGTGAGCCTTATTAGGATCCATCCTTTAGAACTTGATTTGGGCTTTAATCGGAAAATATTAATCCATAAACGATTTATTGAGATTATCTCAGGTGGCATTACTCAAAGAAAAACTAGGATTTGATGATGCCTTTAACTACAAGGAAGAGACAGATCTAAACTCCACTCTTAAAAGGTTTGTAAGAATAGAAGTGTCTGATACTGAGACTGACACGTGCTAGTGACTGTACATATTTTTTATCTAAAGTGTCACCGCTACATAAATCAATTATATCAATAAGATTGAATGGACGTGTACGATACTAGGAATATTTCATGAGATTTAACTCCTTTGATGAACTTTTTTGTTTCGATTATAGGTACTTTCCGGATGGAATTGACATATATTTTGACAATGTTGGAGGGGAAATGCTAGAAGCAGCAGTTGCTAACATGAAAGCATTTGGTAGAGTGTCTGTTTGTGGAGTGATCTCTGAGTATACTGATGCTGAGAAGAGAGCATCACCAAATATGATAGATGTGGTGTATAAGAGAATCACCATTAGAGGATTTTTGGCTACTGATTATTCTAATATTTTCGCTGAATTTTCTGCTAAAACAATGGATTATCTTCGTAATGGACAGTTAGAGGTGATTGAAGACAAGTCATTGGGTGTAGAGAGCATCCCTTCTGCATTTGTTGGGCTTTTCAATGGAGATAATGTTGGAAAGAAAGTTGTAGTTTTAGCAGAAGAGTGATATAAGAGAGGATAAAATGTTACTATTGTTTCATGAACTTTATCTTTTATGAATAAGATTGTCTATAGTCAAATTTGCTTTCGCTTGCATTTACATAGAAATTTATTAACTTCATTTACATAGAATTTATTAGCTTCTTTTTACATTGAAATGTATTATTTCTAAACATAAATTACTTTACATTTAATTTACTTTTAATCAAAATCAATTTTATAAAATCAATTAGCTTAAAATTAAAATTTATCACTGCAGAAGCAAACACATACCAAAGTTCTTCCAAACAAAAGGAAATCAGGTTTGAAAGGCATAATGCATTAGACAAAGTTAAATGTAGAATAAAATCCAAAAAACTAAAAACTAAGAAATTATCCATCTTCTCTAGTTCGACATGAAATTCCAACTCCTTCACTTTCATGTGATTTAAATGTTTCCTCCTCTTTTGTTCAATCTAACAACGTTCTTCTACCGTACAAACGTTTCTTTTGTTTTTTGTTTGGGCCTTCATTGTGCCCATGTTTAGGGAGCTCTTGCATAATATGAGTCTAGTCATGCTTAACACTGAACCACCAACATAGATTAGTGTCTCTTCAACAATGCAGAAGAGTAAAAGAGACAAATGAACTCTTTGCCTCATTCTTCTAGAGAAAAAAAATTCTGTAGATTTTTCATTTAATACGATTGATAGTTTTGCTTAGTGTAGAATGAAAAGTATCCTATCACACAACTTGCGAGCAAAACCAAATCGAGCAAGAACATTAATAAGATATTTCAAATCTAAAGCATCAAAGGCTTTTTCGATGTCTATCTTCAAAGTCATACTAGCGAAGAGGAGGGGAGTGTACCTGAAACACACTCCGATGTCAAAGTAAGTGACGAGCAGAGTGGAAGCAAGTAGAGAGAGAGAGAGAGAGAGAGAGAGAGAGAGAGAGAGAGAGAGAGAGAGAGAGTAAGAGAGCTAACTTAACTGACCCTCTAGTGAAAAGGGTATTTATAATGAGCCTCCAGCACAGAGCCAACGGTTACCTAGCACTGAGCTGGACTGTCAAACCCAATGTTAGTAACTGCTAGGACTGACGTTGCGTCGTGAAGACCAGCACGTGGTCTTCGCCCTACGGTAACTGTTCTGCACTATCCCGGAGGAGGAAGACTGAATCTCCAGGACATGGGTAGTTACTTTATGATGTGTCCCTGCGTGAGGGAGACGTAGAGAACGTGGGGAGAGGCCTGAGGATCTACCCCGACAAGCTCGACCCTGCCCGACCACGGGGGAAAAAGAGGCTGGCTGGTCGGCTGTGAGGGTTCTGCGGTGACAAATTCGAAAAACTGGAGTTTTGTGAAGTTTATATATTTGGTAAATCTTGTAGAATTAAGTTTAATAAAGGTAAACAAAGAACACATGGATCCCTTGATTACATTCATGCTGATCTTTGGGGACCTTCAACGAATCCTTCACACTCAGGTGCAAAGTATTTCCTATCCATAATTGATGATTATTCTAGAAAGTTATGGGTATTCATCCAGAAGACTAAGGATGAAACTTTTGAAAATTTTAAAAGTTGGAAGACTTTGGTCGAAAGCCAAACTGGCGGGAAGGACAAGAGGTTGAAGACCGACAATGGTCTTGAATTTTGCAATGAGACTTTCGACAACTATTATGATGCGTCTAGTATTGCAAGGCATATAACTATTACAGGTACTCCCCAACAAAATGGATTCCTGAAAGGTTTAATTGAACCATTTTGGAAAGGGCGAGGTGCATGTTGATAAGTGAAAAATTGAAGAAGGTGTTTTGGGCAGAAGTTGTTGTGACTGCAGTATACTTGATAAATAGGTGTCCCTTGACAACCTTGTGTATGAAGACACCTGAAGATGTATGATCAATACATCCACCTAGTATCGACAGACTTAGAGTATTTGGTTGTTTATCCTATGCTCACTTTAGGCAAGACAAGGTCGAACCTAGAGCTCTGAAATGTATGTTCCTTGGATACCCTGAAGAAGTCAAAACTTATAGGTTATGGTGTCAAGAAAAATGATGACATTGGTCAAAGTTCGAAGATCTCTGAAGAAGAGTTAAAACAGGAAGAGATTCCTATTGAGGTGGAACATAGTGATGCTGAATTACATAACCCAAATGAAATTAAAGAAGCATAAGCTTCCGTCAAATATGAGGAGACTGATAATGGCTACCTGCTGGAAAGAGACAGGTTGAAAAAAGTCATCAAGTCACCTCAGAAACTTGGTTATGCAAATCTCATAGCATTTTCCTTAATCTCTGCAAGTGAGGTCTTGATGAAGAACCTAAAGATTATAAGGAAGCTATGAAGAGTCAAAATAAGACCGAATGGCTGAAAGCCATGGATGATGAGATGAAATATCTCCATGAAAATAACACTTGGGAGCTGGTCGAGAAACATGTTGGAGCCAGGTTAGTTAGTTGTAAGTGGATTTTAAAGGTTAAGGAAGGAATCGAAAGAGTGATATCAAAGAGATTTAAGGAAAGGTTGGTTGCTAGGGGGTTCAATAAGAAAGAAGGTGTCGACTTTAATGATGTGTTATCACTTGTTGTAAAGCATATATCCATTAGAATGTTGGTAGATATGTTGGAGAAGTTCGACTTAGAACTTGAACAAATGGAGGTGAAGATTGTCCTCCTGTATGGTTATCTAGATGAAAGAATGCTGATGAGGCAACTTGAAGGGTATGCAGAAAAGGGAAAGGGAGATTATGTGTGCAAGTTGAATAGGTCTTTGTATGGCTTGAAATAGTCTCCTCAATAATTGAATAGAAGATTTGAAAAGTTCATTACACACAATGGTTTCATTAGAATTCAGCTCGACCACTGTGTTTACTTCAGTTTTTAACCTGAAAATTCACTTGTTATTTTGGTGCTTAATATGGATGACATCCTCATAGAAAGCAACAATGTCAAAGATGTTATGAAGGTAAACGCTGAACTTGATAAGGAGTTCGACATGAAGGATTTCAGAGCTACCTCAAGAATTCTTGGGATTGACATCCAGAGAGATAGAAAGCAGTCAAGATTATTCTAATCTCAAGAAAAATACTTGAAGAAGATTCTCGACAAGTTTGGTATGTCGAATTTAAAGTTCGTTCTAACACCGGCTAATCCTCAATACAAGTTAAGTATGACTCAAAGTCCTAGTACTGAAGTTGAAAGAGCCTATATGAATAAAACTCCATATGCTAGTTGTCGCTACTGCGAAAATCGGCGCCGGATGACAGAAGAGTCGCCACCGTGCGTTATTTATCCCAATGGAGGGAAAGGAAACGCTCGAAGTAAACCTCGCAAAAAACGGGGAAAGGTATGGTCATCGCAACCAAAACCTGGGTTCGGGAGTCGGTTACGCAAGGGGAAGGTATTAGCACCCCTCACGTCCGTCGTACTCGACGGGATCCACGCTTGCTTGGGTTGTCTAAAGGATGCAAAACAATCTATCTACGGCTGCTAAATCTAAACAGAAGGGAATTGACTCGATAGAGCATCGCGCTCTATGCCTACGTATTCTCAAGGGAGAAAGTCAGAGTCAACGTAGTTCGAGACTACAGGGAAAATTGGCTCGCCAAGACTTCGCGTCTTGTGCCTACGTACTTCCATACTGCGTGGAAGATCAGAGCTTTACGTAGTTCAGGCTAACTACGGCTAAACAAAGGAGTTCTCACACAGCAGTGAGAAAATAACTGGTTTCACAGGGTCGGGAACCTATGGGCAAAACTATGGCTTGGTCTCAAATGCACTTGGGCAGGAGAGAAAAAAGGGTACAAGTTAGTTGTCAGCGGGAAAGTCTCGATCGCACAGCAGCGAGAGAACACAAAGTCAGTAGTTAGTGTGCTCGCTAGGATATCGCATCCTATGCCTACATATTCTCGTCTGGAACGAGAAATCAGAGCAGCTGTAGTTCGGCTACTTCGGGACCACAGCTCAAATCTCGTTTTATTAACATTCTGAAAAATGATTACAATGAGTGAATACTGAAAAATAAATCTCCTAGGAAATACTATCCTATTCTATCCTGAAAAAATCGAATGAAAAAGTCCCCTAACAAGTGGACGTCTAAAACTATCCTAAAATCGTAAAAGAATTTCTATGAAAATATATCCTAAAAGAAAAATGTACTTAAAAAAAATATTAAGTCTACACTAATATTTTTTCTCTTTTCTTTTCAACTATTTTCTCCTCTTTTCTTTCAACACATTTTTCCATATTTTTCTATGTATTTTCACAATATTTTCTCTCCTTTTTCAATATATTTTTCTCTTTATTTTTCTCTATTTTTCACATATTTTTCTCTATATTTTTCTCCTCTTTTTCTTTTTCAAAATATATTCTCCATATTGTTTTTCAATATATTTTCCTTTCCTCAAAATATTTCTTTTTTCTTCATTGTATTTTTCTCACTATTTTTCTGTATTTTTATATATTTTTCTCCTCTTTTTTCTCATATAACTATATAGAAAAATAACAAAAAGAAAAATATAAGGGAGGGGGATGTGCTGTTACAGGGGGAGTGATAAGCAGAAAAAGAAAACAGCAATGAGGGCCCAGCCCAAAGGAAATAAAAAAACAAAAATGTAACGGGGGGAAGAAAGAAGCTGGAGGGGGTGAATCCAGGAATGTAGTTGGGCCTGGCCCATTGGCTGATTGGGGAGTCCACGAGCTTCTCCTCTCCCCTCACTCATTCTGAATTGCTGAGAACCCTAACCCTATCTCTCTCCCAACCGCCGCCGTCCCCTTTCCCTGACTTCTCTCCGTTCAGCCTTTCCTCCGTCACAAACTAACCCTCACCATCATCAGTTTTTTTCTTCGTTTCCCTTGCAAACACTCGCCTCACTCTCATAATAAACAAAGCATGAAATCACGACGAACTCCAAATCAGAGATACGATGCTCCTGAAGATTTGAACGTTTGATGAAGATGATCTTCAAAGGCTGGTGAAGAAACTCATAGGCGTTCAGATGAAGGACATGAAACTTCTTAT